TTTAAGAAAGCGTCTTATTATTAATAAATCGTAAATAAATTAAAAATAACAAGTACATGCGTTTGAGATTGACAGAATTATCTTGCTATGGGCCAGTATTCGACCACAAGCTACCACAGTTTAAATATTGTGTTACTTACAAGTAAGAATATCAGAAACAAAGTATCGAAGCTGAGATCATATTATTTTGACCTCATAGTTATACGGATATATGACACCGCTTCGCCGAAATACATCTTCACGAGTGGAAATTACAGCAGTCTTCAAATGAAAGTAATCTATGCTATTTCACTAATCAATTATAATAGTCAGCAACATGACAGCCTCCTCGAGTCCGATATCCCCCAAGAAACGGGTTCTAGATCAATAGGAGGAGGCTCCGAAGAGGCTGTAAAATTGTTCTACTTTCGGCTTAGAGAATTATAATGCAGTAGAAAATTTGTAAGATTACAATGGAGAAGAAAATTATCAAAAAAAACAAATTGTGGTTTTTTCTTCTTAGGATGAATATTATCCTGAACTAGATTTTCTAAAAAGAAAAAAACAGCCGATATTATTCCTCAGTTATCCCCAATGCCGAAAGTAAAAACTTCAGCTCCCAGGATAAGAAAAGCGGAGTCATCTACCGTGATTACATCATCGCCGTATAAAAATGTCCTTGAAGAAAAGAATGTCCTTGAAGAAAAGAAATTAAACAATTTAATTTAATTAAATCAAATAAATTTGGTAACGGATGATGATACACAATGCATATATTGCACAGAGCTTTTTTCCACCTTTTGGCATTATGACCCTTAATAGAAAATAAGTAATATGACTGACATTTGAAGATATTGTTATAACCTCGTCTCTTAACAATAAGGCATCAGAAGTGTGATTACCACGAAGCTCTACACACGATTCAAACATAATTTACGTCTTTACTTTCGTAAAAATCGCTTCGAGTTTTTACGGGGTGCGTTTTCTCCTATGTTACCCTTTGTTTGGTGTAGGCTATCGCGAATGTTTGCAAGATTGAAGGGAATTCAGCTTATCATCAAGAAATAACACCCAACGGCCCAGCCTTGCAAGAACAGAATTCACGAAACAAAAATACAAAACAGTGGGATATAGCAAACCGACTTGCAATTCCTATCCGACTTGTGTGCGGAAGAAAGGACTCTTCAGGTCAAATGGTAGAGTGATCTGTCGTAATTTTAATAATAGCATGTGTTATAGAAAAGAATGTAGATTAATTCACAATAATTGTGCAATCTGACTATCCAATCAACATCAACTGTCACAGACACAAACGCAAGTGCCTCAATTTTCACAACAGACTGCTCAAATCAACAGTGCTCTATAGGAGTTAT